ATGAGCTGCAAGGGTTAGCGTTAGCCTAAACCTTGTTCATTATCAACATATTTTTATTGTTTCTGTTAACTTCTAAGTTTATTTAGACACTGTCATTTTGAAATCTCTATAAATGATTAAAAAGAAGAGCAACAGAATAAAATAAAATTTCAAACTTAGCCCACTGGTGGGTTGTTCTTTATTTAGAAGACTCTGAGGGCCCCCCATGTGGTCCTTGAGGGCACCTTGGTGCCCACGGGCACCGCGTTGGTGACCACGGGCACCGCGTTGGTGACCCCTGGTTTAAGCGCTGAACCCCTTAAACTAAAATGTTTTTATTGGCATCTTTTGATTCATTTCTAAAAATCAATCTTCTTCAGTAGGAACCTTCCAGCATCCCACTTTCCCACAATAGCTTCCAAATCTTGTTTACCTCTTTTAGATTGTGAGGATATATTTTGTTAAGTCAGGCTTGGTAAAAACCAAACTTATATAATCCTCCTATGAAGTCTTCCTGAAGCTTTCTAGTTGACACCTGGTAATGCTCCAGAACTGTGGATAGACTCGCTATTGCTTTTTGTGCCAAACATATTATTTGGTTAAATGGCCCAAGAGTTCAGGTTTGGTTTCTTCAGAGCATAACATATCCTCCCGCAGGGTTTTGAGAGATGAGAGGCTTTCTCACGGATCTTGACACCAGTTCTGAATTAATATTATTTTGTAACCTAGCTTCTTAGTCCAGACAAACGTGCATGTTTAGCAAAACCACCACCTCCTGATATCACTCAGTCAATTAGAAATTGGGTCCAATGAGGATTTAATGTCTCTTGTGAAAATAAAACCTTTGAAAATATAAACCTTTAAGCAAGTATTAAATATGTTTTTTTTAAGCCCACATTGTTGTCTTAAAAAGTTTGTGTTCTGATGTAAACATTTTAAGTCTATTGGTTCATTAGTTTAAAAAGAAAATCTTCATAGTTAATTGAAAGGATACCTGGAAGCATGTTATGATTTTTTTTTTTTTACCTTAATAAACTGAATTAGTGAAAAAAATTAATTTTATCACATTTACGGTTACGTAGCGACTCTGTAGTTTCTGTCTTGTTGGGAGAAAGAAACAGAATTTTTATTTTCTCTGTGGTCCCTGGTTTATAATCTTCACTTATTGGTGAATTATTTTACTGTCACACAATACGACTTTTGAATAAATCTTTTAACACCTCCTGATTGATACCTTTGATAAGATTTTTTGAAAGCTTTTTACAGGCTTTGGATTTAGCTAAACAATGTCAGGAACATCTTCTGAAAACAAGCGATCATTATTTTAGACTTATCAAATGCACATTAAACTATTGTGTTAAACCAAGACGAATATATGTTGAAAAGTATTGAAAATTATGCATGTGCATTTCAATCATTCTTCTTCTTATATTAGGTGAAATATCTGCACTTTTGCTCAATGATTTAATACATTGTCATGCTCTAAACTTTTCCTGTAATATTTCTTCTTTTTTTGATTTTTCACTTAAATCTCATATATCTTGCATTAAACGTGCATTAAACATGTTGGAAATGCTTTTCTGAGCCTCTATAATTTAAATCACAACAGCCATTCCAACTGGATTATATTCATTAAAACCACTGTAAGTACTTTTGTAAAACAACTACATACAAAGAAAAATATAAATCCAGGCGTTAATTAGAAAAATATCAATAAAATGTAAAAAAAATCGGATGCATGGTAGCGAAAAACAACACTGTATACTATTGTTTCTGAAACAAAGCAAAATTATGTTTAAAATGTAAATATTACAGAGCAAATGTAACATTCAGTAACAACTTAGAGATAAAATGTATTAAGAGATAAATAATTATAATTACACCCACCATCGTTGTTCCTCAGCTGTCTTTTTTTTGCAGCGTCAGTAAATAAATGATCCACATAATGTGTGGAAAATATGATTTTTGTTAAGCTGAGTTTATCTTGGTCTAATGCTCCAACCAAGGCGGACTTGTCTGCCTCTTCGGAATGATCACCAAGTGTCACAGCTAAAGGTTGGAGGCATAAAAGGCAAACACTGCTTGGACCAAATTGATTCTAGTTGACTGAATTTAAAGAGAAATGTTCCCTGCTGTCCAAAGACTGAGCGAGCAGTAACATGTTATAAAAGCCTGGAAATTTGAAAGATGTACATTTTTATTGTATTTCTGTAAAATTCTATTTTTTAGCATTTCAAATATTTATTTTAATCCTTATAAATTTCTGGTGGCACTGTAATGTATGCTAGAATCATTTCGATAGAATTAAGAATCCACATTTTCTTCCTCAACCTCCTTTTTTATTACATCTGAATCATTTTAAATAAAAAAATCCACCCAAACTTATTACAGCTTTGATGTTTTTATGAAACAAAATGTCTGTGATGATTCATCAGGATGAAATCCAGATGATCTGACAGTTCTTTCAACTGCTCTCCATTGTGTTGTACAGTGTTTTTGAATGCAACATTCAAATTTAGCTACTATTTGTGGCATTCTCTCTTCCCTTGATTAGAGATTACCCAACTCCAACGGTGCAGACGCCGTTTCTTATATCAGTCACGCTACGACACTTCAGAACACAGATATTAATGTTTCTCTGCATTGCTCCAATTGATTTCTCCAATGCGATCTGCAGGCTGCTAACCGTGGCTTTATCAGGCTTTCCACAGCATTTATGGCTCTGCGTCAGCTAATGGCCTGTGGTGTACACTGCTGCTGTTAGCACAGGATATAGCTGACATCGATGCATCTGGTAACCAGACCATTACCAGTATCTATGTCTTTCTTTCGGGGGCTGTTAAAAAAGCCACATGTTTCTCAAGTGGGACATTAACAGCTTGGTTTTCTGCTGCCTTTGCCAAAAGGTCAACAAAATTATTGATGTTTTTTTTGTTATTTCCACACCACCATTTTAGTGATCACTTTTAAAGCATGTTTAAACTGCAGGTTAGATGTTTCTTCCTGATTAACTCACAAAACATCTACCTGAAGCATGTTTGATAGAATATTAAGCTGGGATTCAGAGAGTAAATTACGGGTTAAAACGAGCTTTAAAAAATGATCATTAAAATGGTGGTGTGGAAATAACAAAAAAAAACTGAATCCCAGCTTAATATTCTATCAAACAGCTTCAGGTAGATGTTTTGTGAGTAAATCAGGAATATCTAACCTGCAGTTTAGTTTGTTTTATATAGCACAATGTAAAATTTGGTAAATAAGGTAAGCAATAAATATTTTTTATAATCATATTTGGACTGAAAAGTTGTTTTCTTTTTCAGGGAGCTGGTCTGCCATAAAAAAAGTATTTTTTTCTTTCTTTATTCCTTCCAATAGTGATATTTTATTATATGCAATATGCAGTATTTTAGATCCTAAAACAAACTTGAACTAAAACAAACATTACAAGTAATATTAAAACGGTTGTAATAGAGATATCTTTAATGTTTCTTCAACTAAGAAAGTACTTCTGCTTTCCTTTTTTTTTGCCTCTGCTTTGTCTGCTGGTCGTTGCCTGTGATTCTGCTTTAGGGGTCTTGTGGTCCAGTCCAGGACCATGAGAAAAAAAAAATCACACCTTAATCTGAAACACTTCCTTAAATGCAGAGTTTTAGACTAAGATTGTTTTGGGGGCAGTAGCTTCTGCTTAAGTACTTAGTATATTAAGCAGAAGAAAAAACACGCAGAGAAAAGTCTATTTGATGGGATTTCTGCTGATACTTTGGTTTTTAAAAGTAGTTAATTCTCTGAGCCTCTTCATTACTCATTAGCTTTATTAGCATGTGGGTAGTACTTAGTTACATTTATCTAGTTAAATTTACTTCGTCAACTTTTCCTTTTTACTTTTTAAATTTGTTCTACTCTTGAGTTCTACTCTATCAATCATGAATAACTATGGATATGGATATTTAGGGGGAGTGGTGGCCTAGGGGTTAGGGCATAAAGCTTGAAATTCTGAGGTTGTGAGTTTGAAACCCACTCCCACAGACTGCCAATCTGGGACCCCTAACCCCACACTGTTCCTTGGGCACCCCACGATGGCAGCCCACTGCTCCCCAAGGGGATGGCGTAAATTCAGAGGTAAGTTTCTCCAAAATGAGATAAATAAAGTTCAATTCAGACATGGGCAATGTGGAGTCAACAAGTCATCTCCATGTCATGTATTTAATCTACCCAGCCAATTAACAAGGTGAGTCCAATCTGCACAGGTTAATTCACGGTGAAGATTGGACTCACCTGCTTCAGTGGCTGGGTAGAACAAATACATGACATGGAGATGACTTGTTGACTCCACATTGCCCATGTCTGGTTCAATTATTATTAATTTAACTGAGTTAAAAACAAGCTTTTTGGAAAAAAGCACTCCAGACAAAGACACACAGTTAATGTTTATATTTTGGCATACAGACTTATTTCATATCTGGTGTGGAGGTTATGTACTCAGCACTGTTCTAACACATCTACATTATCGACTGTGAGGTTTGATTTCATAAATTGTTAGAAATTTTAATTGGTAAAGTGATTTTTACTCATTTGTTTTAATATTTTTTTAATGATATTTAAAATATCAGAATTTGCACATAACTTTACATTCTAAACTGTCTCGATCTTTCTTCTGCTTATGGGACATTTTCAAGCTATTTTGTTTTCTGATTCAGCTCTTAATTTGTCATTAATCTTTTTTTTTCACAGGCGCAACCCTTACCTGGCATCTGCTCGTTTTTCTTTAGGCATGCTGGGTTAGCAGGAGTTTACACAGTCAATGAAGGGATCTAGGGTCTAAATAAACCATGCTGAGACCAGAAGCTATAATCGTGCAAGAGAACAGTTCCAGGGTCCAGTTTAGGGTCTTGGACTGAGTTCACACTAATGTTATCTGCGACAGAATCTGGTCTCTAGCAAAGGTAAATGCATGCCAAAGTCATGAAGTAGCTGTGAAAAACAAGTCAATAAAGACATCATGAGTCCAAATATACCTAAAAGCTACTTTTTTAATGTTTGATTAACTGGAACATGTACAGCAATCCCTCAGTGCAAGTCCAGAACAATGAAGCTGGGTCGAGCCCCTGGCTTTGGCTTATCCCAAACACACAAACTGCAGCTCAACTCAACAGAAGCTAAATCCGATGCTGCTTCTGATAAGTTATGAGTCCATGAGGGATCTGAAGTGAGGAAGGAAAGCAGTACCATCAACAACAGCCCCTATGCAAAAATTCAACCACAAAGGAACTTATACAGGATGTTACTAAAGTGCATAATGGAATTAAATCAGCAGCACCATGATACATTCACAAAATAAATATAGATTTTAAAAATGAAATAAATTATGGCTGAACCATTTGAAACAGAGGTACAGTCATTTAAAAAGAGAGTTCACCCTCACCAGATCAGAGCTATTGCCAGGTGTAAGCTATAGAGTTAAAGCAGGGGGTTATGCAGTTTGCTGATCTGGATTATTTCAATGTTTTCTAACATAATACCAAGGAGGAAAATCTGCTTTTGATGCCTTTAAGTCTATGTGTGTTGAAAAGAATTTAGGACAGCTACCAATCTTCCTAGGAGAAAATGTTCCAGCATAGTGACCTACAGTAGGCAATGTTCTGATAAACGACAACAAAGCTGCATCTCAGGTTCTAGTGGCTGGGTAAATAAATCTGTCCCATTAAGAGGGTTTGCAGAAAACCGTCCTTTCTGCAAAGCTACAAAGATGTAAAGTTGTTCACTTATAACCTTTTGGATCAATATATTTTGGACAATTCCCATTTGTTGCGCTATAAAACAAAACTGCATATTTAATGGCAGCCGAACAGAGGACATAGAAGCACTCCAATACCAGCTGTCAAGCATGGTGGTGGAGGGCTGATGATTTGGGCTTGTTTGTCATCCACTGGATGTGGGACAATTTTAACCTTTTTACTGACCATAAGCTGGTTTGCATACTAAAGAACTCTTGAGGTTATTGTTAAAGACCATATTTCCAAAACTGAGCTAGAATTGGGTCATATAAAACAATATCTAAGCAACATTATATAGTAAGGAGTGCATCAAAAACTCATCTGTGTTAATGTGAGACTCATGACTTCACTTAAGTCGTTACTGCAATAGTTGGTTCAGTAAATTCCTATGGTTGTTTGATGAATAACAAAAGTTAAAAATAAATAATTTTAGAAGCTGGCAAAGCTAAAAGGATTTATTAATCATTTACAAAACTGCATAACTAACTGGTCTAGACCCAAAAAAGAGCCCCTAACCCCACACATCCTGGATGTTCAAACTTCTGCCCTGAGTGAAGCATAACAGAGCCATCTAAAGTCAAAAAAGGAGCACAATGAACAACTCACAGCCCTGCTAGTCAGACACTCTGCTAGAACAATTCAGGCCTTTTTCCACTTAGACAGCCTCTTCTGTCTTTTATTTATTTGTAGAAGAAAAGATGGGCAGCACATGCACACTAGCACATGCAGCTATCCTCCCGATCTTTGTCTTGCCCTTCTTTCTACATACTTTGTTGCTGTTAAAACTGCTTAAACTGCATATTCTTTGTTTTTTTTACACTCAAACTTGCCGATTAACATTAAATCCGTGTGAAAAAGGGTGTACCTTCTTTTTCATGACTGTTTTAACTGAAAGGTTTTCTTAGAATTCCTGGTTCAAGATGGTCGACATTTGCAGAGCCAAAGGAAAGTAGTTCTCTTAACCTCCTTTATGTGGTTCCTGTACCAAAGGAAATAAACATTTCCTAGTCTGCTCAGTCTGTGTACAAGTTTGGTTATAGATTACAAGGCATACAAAGGACATCCAAGTTACAGGTGCGGAGATCCTACTAATAAATATGGACCTAAGACTTCATGTTAAAAAATCCAGAAAGTATGCAAAAAACAAAAATATGACTATTTTATCATACAAGCATGACCCTGACTTCTGAGACAGTCCGCCAGGTGTCAGTCCTCATCAGTGTCTTAATGCAGCACCATTAGAAAAAGGTCCCATTGGTCCTCATCCATTCATGGCCCATTTCCAACGGCAGAAGGGGTTCTTCTCCTCTTCTTTTCATTCTCTCTGCGCCTGCCTAACCGGACCTTTTTTTTCCTCTTGGTGGTAACTTTTAAGTCCTGGTCTTTGTATGGCGAAGCCTTGATGGTCTCCTGGGGGAGGTGAGGACCTATTCTGTCCACGTTAAACTTCTCTAGAAGGTCCTTGCTGGCCCCTTGGGGCTTCTGGTGTAGAACGTTCCCACTGGACGTTTGGCCCTGGGTCCTGCTCTGCACAGGTGGAGCGTGTTCACCAGCCGTGTGCACCTCCTCCAGCAGTTGCTGCAGCCACGTTTTGCGCCTGTGCTCCTGGATGGAACGGCTCTTGTCATGCATCAACTGGGCGTGGCTCACCGACCTTCTCCTACATTCAAAGACAGATGAGGGTTTAATGAAAGCAGATAGAAAATGTGAAAAATCAGCCTAATTTTTATGCTGGGTTTTGTCACCATATATTTAAAGACAATAAGTACTCTTTTATTCCATGTTTAAATTTTCCTTATTTCAGATGTTTATTAGATAAATCTTAATATTGTAACACGGAAATTCTTATGACTGCATTTGTTTTCCATCTCTATGGAGTTTTCTTTCACTCCAGAGTGTTGAGTTTATGTTTGGCAGCTAAAATTTATGGTCCGGATTCAGGAAACTTTAGTACAGTAGGTGGCAGCACAAACATGTCTTTAAACCTGTCACTACTCTTGTTTTAAGACCACTCTAACAGGGAGACAGCCCCCCCATCCCCTATTTTATTACAGAGACAGTATTGTTTCTGTAAAGTGCCTTGAGACGACCTGTGTTGTGAATTGGCACTATATAAATAAACTGAATTGAATTAATTTTAATTGAATTATGACCATGTAAAAAGGGTCTCTAATTTCTAATTTGAAATCAAAATATATATTTTAAGGTTGTTGTTTTAACTTACGGTCTGTTAATGAGTGCATCAGCCGGTCTCCCTTCAAAAGTCACTGGGGAACACAGCAAGATCACAGCCAGACTCCACTGGTGAAGCAGCATTAAAGAATACATGCTTGACCCAAACATCTGAGGGAAAAAATTATTATATAGGTCAAATAAAATATTTACTATTTTCTATTTTATGCCTCAATCATCATCTATTATTTAGAGCAAATGATTCATTATTCTTATCAAAAATAAATGTAACTTACACAACTCTTCTGGTTAAATTCCACAAAAAAAAAGTTAAGAAATTAAATTCCTTGCAAGAACATGTTCGAAAACAACGTTTGAAATTATTCTGCCAAATGCATTTTGGTCCATTTAGGATCTCTTGGTGTGCCTTCAGCCTTGGGAAAATCCCCACGAGTCTCCTCCATTCATTTGCCTCCCAACAGTGTGTGTGGAGCTATTTATTTCTCCCCAGTGTCCAAATTAAAAGAGGGATAAAGATAGAAAGAGTAGCAGCAGCAGCCCATCAGCTGCAACTCTGCCCTTTTTCTCCAGCAAGCTTTATGAAGAGTTACTCTGAAGCATCATCATCATCATCATCATCTCTGGTGGCCCAAGTCGAGAAAGAAAACATTTCAGTCCAGTGCAGTGAAGGAGCTTGTGTGAATGAGGGGAGCTGAGAGAAAGTTAAACTGCACTTTGGGTGAAGATGCAGCTACCTCAGCCCCAATTCAGTCTGTGCACCCTCCCCAACCTCCCAACCCCTCACCTCTGTCCCTCCCCCAGTTCCCTTCACACATACACACAGACACACACACCTGCAGTGACATGGGAAGGCGCCCATGTGGAAAAATCCTTAAGGATTTCTTTCTAATTTACATACACTATATGTACTTAAACAATAAAGGGTCATAAATAGAGTCTGAATATTTTATAAATATATTAGTGTGAGCAGGTAACCATAAGTTAACCAAGTGTAGAGTGAACGGTTTTAGGCGAGGGGCAGGGTTCCTCCAAGGTAAACACCTCGGCCTAACCACTTTCCCAGGGGAGAATGACCATAACCTCAAAGAAATCCAACCCACAGCCTCTCACTGCAGACCATTCAATTCACCGCCGCCGTTCTGCCTTGGCAAACCAACTCGCCACTGAATGCAAAGTGGCTTCTCGAGGAGAGGGTTCACTTACTCTGCTAATACAAAGTTTAAAGTTTATTGTTATAAAATGTGCTTTGTCTATTCCCAGATTCACTGTCTGGATTGTGGATCACATAAGAAAGAAAATAATTCAGTTTGGTCAATAGATTAATGCTGGAATTGCCTTTGGGAAGAATTTTTTCTTTTTCTTTTTTAAATAACCTAATGTTGAATGAATCAGAGCAGCAGTGCAACTGTTTTATATTTCGCAAACAAAACTTCATTGGTAGGAAGAACTATTGAGTTTAGGTTGGAATAAAGACATTTGAGATGTACCATGACTCTTTGCTTGTCTATTCATCCTCTATGTTGTCAATAGTTGTGGTTTGTGTGCTATTTTTTATTCTTGCATGATAAAGATTTTTAGTTCCGTCCATGTATCTTTGTTATCTGGTCTTTCTATTATGAGCAGTGTAAGCATGAGTGATTCAAAGTCCTGAATGAGGCTGGAGCTCTCTGTTGTGATGAGGTCTTTTATTAGTTAGATCATAAATAAAGATCATTTCTATTAACTGGAAAAAGACCTAACTGTTATCAATCCTGTGTCAGTCAATGGAAAAATCATTTTAATTATTCAGTTTATTTATATGTTCACAACACATCTCAAGGTAATTTACAGGGACAATTCAACTAGATCAAACAGTCAGATTGATTCAAGTTTTCTATATAAGGAAAACCACCTGATTGCATCAACTCATAGACTCGAAAGCAATCCCTCACAGTGAGTATGTTTGTAGTGACAGTGGAGAGAAAAAACTCCCTTTTAACAGGAAGTAACCTCCAGCAGAACCAGCTCAGTGTGAGCGGCTATCTGCCGAGGCCGACAGGGGCTCAGGGAAAATAATATATTTGACCTTAATTATCTCTTTGAATAAAATCTGTAAAATATCTTGGCTTGTGGTGATGATTAGCTGCATAGTTGGGCAAATCTTACCCCAGAAAAGATGTTTTGCAAGCTATCATCATTCATATAAGCCCTCTACCCAGAATCAAACTTTCTCCTGTTTCCAGAGAGTCAGCCCTAAGACCTTAGTGTTTTGTAGAGGGAAAAAAACACCTCATCTGATTCCTTTCTGAAACAATTTTACCTGCAAAATATTAAAGAAAAAAAAAAATCCCATTTCCTGGCAGGCTGAAGCATGTTGAGTAGAAGCCAGCAAAGCTGCTTTTGATTCATGCTAAGTTGCACACAGAACAGTATTCCTGTTTGTTTTCTTCCTTTGTGTGTTGCACCTACCTCACATTCACACGTCCAAGTCCTAAAACACACCAACCCACCCATTAAGGTCTCTTAATATTTACCCCCTTTGCTATCCAGACAACAGGCACATAAACTCAGCATCATGAGAAACGCATATTTCACGTAGAGTTTAGAAACTATTTTTAAATGCGTTGTACTCCTTCCTCATAAAGACCCACCCTATTATGTCATTTACTCTGGCTTAAGTTGCTGCAACAGCTCCTGCTTTTGTTGCATTTATTTTCCCTGAAGGTATGACGTGTTTATTAAAATTGTATTCATTCCTAATCACATCATCAGACATCAGGCAATATTTGAATTTTTGTTTTAACTGCAACCTTTTACTTTTACTTCATCAGATGCAAAATATCTTAAAGCAGTTCACAGAAAAGAGCTGCAAATGTTCTGATAATCTCAGATAATTGAAAAGTTATGTTTTATTAAATCATTATTTTTATAGAAAAACTGTTTTCATTTCTAAGGGGTATTTGACAGTGGTTCGTTTATGGTGCCCTAAGGCTTTTGAATTGTTCATATGAAAACCTTTGGGTTTATTATCCTGGAAAACTTGACTTGAAAAATGACTTTTACAAAATTACTTTTTCTTCTTAATGGTTTCTTAACACGCGTTACTTTATGGACCATTTCAGCTAGCTCATTTGAAGCACACTTTATAATGTTGTATCATGAACATTTTTGGTAGAGTCTTCTGCAACTCATTCACACCTACTAATCATAACTGTCATCTGAGGAAAGCTCTTTAGCCTCCCTAACCTCTCCCCTGGTTCAGCTGTTTTCCAGCAGCTCTGCCTCTGGGGCTGGGTTTCTTTCAAATAAATGTTCAACAGACCAAAGCATTGAATTGATCCAACTGGTTTTCTTTTCAGTCAGTGGTTTATTGGTCATTCTTTATTGCCAGGTTTCATGCAGTCTATAAAAACAGTTTTACATTTAAGGCTAGGGTTAGATTACTATTAACAGGGTGCTTTTCAGCCACAGAATCATAATCTATGGTTACTTTTAAGTGACGAAAAAGAAAATAAAATAAAAGGCCAATAACTTTTTATAACGAAAAACAATTGTGTCTGCATAACATGAATAAACTTAATGGTTAGGAACTTTTAGAGATACCCTAAAACAAGCAGTTAAAACAACAAATTGGAATAAAGTAGTTTTGTTAGCTATAGTTTTGTAGCAGTTAACAGATTAAGCATTTCCTTTAACAGCTCAATTAGGATTGTCTCTATTATTTAGATTTGTTAAATGCCTAAATAATGATATATTTATTTAAACTTTGTCAAGTTTACACACATTTTCTTGTTTTTTTTTTAAGTGCAAGACTTTGGTTAAACAGTTTGAGTTTAGATTTATTGGATTTTTGACCCATTTATCCGGACAGAACTGCTGTGCCTGACATATTGACAATTTTACAAAACCATACTTGTCCAAGCTGTAAATTCCTGTCTGGTCCATAAAATATAACTTTAATATTTTGAACAGTATTTTTTGTCATGACTCCATCAATTCATGCACTGAACACCCAGACAACATGATTCTGCCATTCTTAGGATCCTATTTGTTGTCAGGCTTGCAAGAGTACTCTTTTTTTCTCCAGATTTCTACGATGGTCATTCAGGTCAAATATTTTATTTTAATTTTCAGGTGACCACAAAGCATGATTCCAAAAACAATGGTACTTTTTTTGCATTTTCAAATTATGATCTATTTTTGTTTTACTGGAGAAATTGCTTCTTTCTTGTTGAGGGGCTTTTCCCTTCATGTCTTTAGAGTATTTGCTTTAATGTAGATAGTGACACCTCTTCAGTCAGCATCTTTTGTAGTCTGTTGCCTTGAAACTGGAATTGATTAAGAAATTTTGTATTAAAACATGTTCCTCTTTGTGTCAAAGAACCAGCCTCCTTCCTGGACAACATAATCATCATACACTTCTACCATTTTTTTGCTGAAAAAAAAAGTTTGGTTTTCCTTGAGATCGGTGCTTTAAGTAGAGCAGTACACAATGCTACGCAGTGCCATTATTACTAAATTTCAAGCTCACCATGGATACTGGGACTTATACATTTTCACCCCACCTCCCATCCCCCCAACCTCTAAAAATGTATGTGGCTCCAGGTGTTTCAGAGGAAAAAAATAGAGGAAATAAAGGATCACGGCTGTGATGTTTCAGAGTATCCAAATTGACTCAAACAAACTGGAGCAGAGTTGAATGATAACAGCAGAACTCTGAACAGTCATTCACACAAGGAAATGGAGGATGAACTACAAACTAGCATTAGCATATCCAACGAAGACCCAACAATACAAAACCATCTGTGAATTATTTTCCAAAAAAGGTAGATCAGGGGTGGTGCTATCCATTTTGAGACCATGAAAACAAACACTGTGTGGTATCTCTCACCTGGAAATTATCTCAATATTAATGCTTTGATAAACAGCTGTAATAAACAAGAGAAGGAATACAAATCTTAAAAAGGTTTTAAAGTTTTTTAAGAGGACGACTAGCAACAATTTTTCATTCTGGCTTACTGATTACTCCAAAGTCAGTTAATAATTATGACTTTATACTTTTTATACAACAATATAACAGCTTTTGAACACTCAACCATTAGTTTCCCTCACTCAAATTGCAAAGCAACAAAACCTCTTATCTTTGTAACTATCTATCAACCACAAGGTCCTTACTCTGAATTTTTAGATGAGTTTTAGTGTTAAATAATGACACGGTCATCATAGTGCGAGACTTTAATATCCATACTGATATTAAAGGTAATAGCTTAAATGCTATCTTTGATGGGATAGGCTTTGTTCAAAATGTGAGTAGTCCCACACATTTTCATGATCATACTTTGGACCTTGTGCTGACATGGTAACTTTTTCAATAACCTTCAGGATTGCTTTAAAAGGGAGTTTTCCTCTCCACTGTCACTACAAGCATAAGGATTGCTTTCAAGTCAATGAGTCAATGAAATCAGCTGGTTTTCCTTAGATAGAAACTATGAACCAGTGTGACTATATGAACCGGCTGAATTGTCTCTGCAAAGTGCATTGATATGACATGTATTGTGAATTGGTGCTACATAAATAAACTGTATTGAACTGGGGAAAAAAAACTTTTATGCAAATAGCTAATTTTGCAATAACTATGCTGCGTATACTTCCACACATTATGTGTTTTGCTTCTCTCGAGGATAAGGAAGAAAAACAACACATTTTAAGAGGGTTTAAATTGAG